GGCTGCAGTATGTGTTAGAATTTTTCTTGTTTCTTATGGCTGAATAATTTTGCATTGTAAGTATGTACTACATTTTGCTTATGCACTCATTCTTTGATGGACTCCTGATTTGCTTTTATCTTAGGCTAAACAGTTTTTTTGGTGAATAAATTCTTTTTTATATTTGTGAATAATGCTGATATGAATATGGCTGTACTAATGTCTCTTTAAGAAGCTCTTTTCAATTATATTGGGGTACTCCAGAACTGGAATTGCTGCATTATATGGTAATTCTATGTTTATGTAACATTATTATTGATTTTAGGAATCACTGTACCAGTTTCCAGAGCTATGCACACTGCAATGTCCATGGTTCTAATTTCTACATAGCCTTGTCAACACTTTTTATTCTCTCTTCTTTATAAGAGATATCTAATGGTTTTGAAGTGATAGGTCACTGTGTTTAGATTCGCGTTATTAGATTTAGATTTGCATTTTTCTGATGTTTAACAATTTGAACAGTTTTAATCATTTCATCCATCATCATCCCTTATGCCTCTGTAGTGGCAGGATGGTCACAGGGCTGGTTCTTTATGATTCGAGCAGACCAGGTGAAAGAGAGTCCTGGAGCCCTTGGTGGTTTTCTCAGGCTTTTATTGAGCTTTTACAAGTATTGCAGCAACCAGGTACACGCAGGCAGGGGTGCGTGGTGGGGGCGACAGAAGGGCGGCAGGCCCCCAAACCCCACCCCCAAGTCTTCTCTCTGGCCTTCTTTCTCCCCTTCTCAATCTCTCTCTCTCTCTCTCTCCTGCCTCTTTCTCCTGCCTCTGCTTCTCTTGGCAGACATTTCAATACTGCCCCCATGGCCCACAGAAGTAAACAATATAACTTATAACAATGTAACAAATGCAGGTGCCCCTGGTTCTTGTATGCATGAATAAATAAATCTTTTAAAAAATTTCCTTAATAATAAATACATATTTTATAAAACTTGAAACTGATCAATATTTACATTGAAACGGCTAAATTTTAAATTTTTTAGTGAATTCAAAAATCGTTTCAGAAGAGTAATTTGGCATCTTGCTCATTTTATTTTCCTGCCTGTCTGTCTCCTTATCTACATACCTACATACTTGAAACACACATTTTTTTTTTAAGGGATTTGGAAATCAATGTTTTGGTTTTTTAAAAAAGATTAATTTATTTATGCATACAAGAATTGGGTGCAGGCCAGAGTTGCGGGGTAGGGGTTGGGGGGTGTGCGGGGTTTGTGTGTGAGAAGATTCACCAGAGACAGAGCGGGGAGCAGAACAGGTGGATTGACTGAGGGGAGCAGCGGGTGAGACAGGAGAGGTCTGCTGCGTCATGTGGGTCACCTCCCTGTCTAGGGATGTAACTTGTGCTGCAGTGGCTGTGGATAGCTTCATAGTGGAGGCCCCTAAAATTCACATTCCAGCAGCTGAAAATGGAAGCATACCTAGGTTCTGTAAATAGGGAAGGATAAACCCTTTTTCTTTTTCTCCAGTCTCTGGACTTCATAGATTCAATGTTTTACTAATGGCAAAGTCAGTGGGTTGGAGTCTTCCAAGAACGTTAAAAGTTCCTATTCTTCATGAAATATAGCTAGTACTAGAGTGGCTTCAAAGGAGACTATCTTTCATCATTTTGTGTGTACTGAAAAGAATCTTTAGGAAACAGTGTTGTTTGAGGATACTTTCATCTTTAGTAATTGTTGGCCATCTCAGAAGTTATTTTTGGAAAACTTTTTTTTATCTTCCTGCCCCTTCATATGACTTCTAGATTTTATGCAGTGCTCTGAAGTGTCATCCTGAACTTCACTTGTTTATGGAGGGCATTTTTCACTGTAATATTCAGATTACATATGGAAATTCTGGGCTGCATTTATGGTACTAATGTTGCCTCAAGAATATATACAAATGGACATTGAAGTAGGCATCTACCAGAGAAACTAGTGAGAAAACAACAAGAACAATAATTTTGGACAGAGGATAGTTCTGAGGACTATTTTTTGGGGGAAGAAAAGCCAAAAGCATTCAACACTCTTTATTCCTGGAGGAAATTTAACAAGTTGATGATGTTCACATATCCATCTCCTATTAACACCAGTCAAACCTAGTCCTGTTATCAAATTAAAAGAATAATAAATAGTTAAATGGATTACTGTTAACTTGAATGTAAGTTCTAGACAATGAGCAAATGATTTGGTATCATCCCGTCATGCATAAAGAAATGGAAGAGAAAGAAGCCAGTCATCAAGTCACTGCAATGCAAGTTGAATTTTGAGTGGAAAAACAATTATGTTGTTGTTGTAGTAAAAAATATGCATATTGCACTAAAATGCTTTATCAGCCAAAGGAAGTATCAACAAAACCATTTTTCAAAAAAAACCCAATTTTGAAAAAGCAGACTTTCTAAAGCCCTGGTATCCCCAGCTGTCTCTAATCTAGTGCTTCTAATCATTGGCAATAACTATTATTAACCCAAGACAAACCTGGGTGTTCACACACGCATTCTACAAACACTTATGTATCTGTTGGACTCTATCTATAGTACATCAATACTATAGTATTGATGAGATGCTGAGGATCCAGATAAGTTAGCAAGAGGAACAGAAAAGATAAGTTTAAAATATATTTGAGGGAGGATATATAGAATATAAAACTTAGAAGAATAAAAGAAGTTTTGAAGTTTAAAAAGAAGATATCATCAATATTCTCACTCAAACATAAAATGGATACCTTCCAATAATTTTATTTAACTCATTAATTAATGAAGTCACAGATGTCACAGTTTATTTAATGAGAATTAAAAAGCACACATATGTTCAGTTTAAGTAGGCTTAAATGACCTTGCAAATAGTTGTAAAACTGCCTTATTTCATGGGAGATAAAGATGAATCGATAAACCCAGATAAAACCCATAGTGTAATTTTAGACATCATTTTTCTGCATTGCTTTCAGGAATCTACAACTTATAAGAATTATAAAATGGCTCAAAGACTATGAAAGGATAGAGAACTTGTGGCATCAGATAGCAGTAATCATGTGCTTAGACAAGGGCCTGATTTTCCTTTGACAATACCCAGTGATCCTTTTGGTCCATTTCAAAAGGAGGTAATGAGTTTAATTTAAAATGTATTGGGTTTATATTTCCTTGGAGATTTAAAAATAAATCCTGTCAAACTCTCGTTGTATTTGACATTGGTAATGGGTGTTATATTTTCAGAAAGGACTGGATAACAAGGCTTATATAGTGTTGAGAAGGTTTATTGATCCAAAATTATCAGCATGAACACTATAAAATAGTATCAAAAAAATGGACTCTAGTTAGATTGCAAAAGTTCAATTTCTGACATTATTACTAACTAGCTATCGACATTGAAAAGGTTATTTTCTTTCTCTATAACTTAATTTCTTCATTAATGAAATAATAAAAATAACAGTATTTATCTCCTAGAACTTTGAGAGGATTTCCTGAGATAATAAATGCCATGTGCTTGATATTGGTAACCACTGAATAAATGCAATTTATTCATATACTGGGATAAAGATGATTAATATTTCAAATCATCTTTTCAAGAGTACAATTTAATGGAAGCTTTTATCAGTTAAAAACCCTCTTTCTGAGTGCAACTTTTCCCACTTCCCTGAAATTTGCAGTTGCATGTCTTCTCAGCTCCATCACCTTAAGAACCAACCTTATAAACCACAGCTAGAAGCATTATTATGAGAGATGGAAGGAACACCAACTTCACTCATGAGAGTCTCATCTCATCATCACTTATGCCTTCATGGCATCTTAAGTCCCAAGGCATTTACCTGCCAGCAGTGAGTATTTTCCAAATAGATCCAGATGTTGACACTGAGTCGCGAACGGTATTGTCTGGTTTCTGCACCATAGCAGGTATATACAAATCAAGTAATTTTCAAAATTCCAAAATATTTTCTCAAATATAGAAAATTCTAAAGCAAGAGAGCATATTATTAAAATGACATGTATTGGGTGAATCCTATTCTGAAGAATAATGGTAAAGAAATACTAAAACAAAACAGTTTTATACGTGTACTGTAGCGGCTTAAACAAGAAGTCTGCAATGTCTTGTACAAAAGCAATAAATCCTTGAAAAATCTCAGCTATGTTAAAAGAAAATACTTAAGAAAAAATACTAGAAAGAACACAGATCAAATTATTAACTAAAATTGAACTGAGGTAATGAGTTTATGGCACTCCCTTCTTTTCATATTACTGCGATCCTCAAATTTTGTATAATGGAATATTTCAAAGTTTAAATAAAAATAAAGGAAACCCAAAACACAACCTCCTTGAACTTACCCTTTTGAAGTCTCAGACAGAAGAGACGGGAAAGATGTAGATGTGGAACCAAGCTTAGCTGAGGTTTCGCCATTTTGTATATCCTCCACCTTGATATGTTAGTCCTTGTCCTGCCGCATTCCGGAGATAGTTTCAGCAGTCACAACCCTCACTCCACTTGGTGACGAAAAAGCAGACCACCCCAGCCACCAATGAGGGCAGTCCTGTCCATAAATGGGACAGCATCTCTAACCGTCCAATCAGTTTGAAACTGTAACCGCGCGCGCCCAAAGTGCCTTTGTAGTAGCCAATGAATAATTGCCAACTTCTTTCAAAGTTCCCGCCACTCGCGACCCTATAAGATGTCCCAGCTTCCTCTGTTCGGGGCTCTCGACCTCTGCCGTTGCATCGGTGCGTGTCGAGGGCCCGGTCTCGAGCCCGTATTAAACTCCTTTGTGCCCTTGCATCGGTTGTCTGTGTCCTTGGGGGCTGCACTGGTCGACGTGGGCACAACATTTTGGGGGCTCGTCCGGGATCGACGAGTGCAGACCCCAACTGCCGAGCAACCGAAAGGAGTTCTAAAGCGCGCAGGTGAGTTCCAACACTCGCCCAGGTAAGCTTCAAGTCTGCAGACCTGTAGTTGTACTTAGTACCTGTATCTTTTGTACTTTGTACCTGTAGAAGCTGTTTTGTACTTAGTACCTGTATCTTTTGTACTTTGTACCTGTAGAAGCTGTTTTGTACTTAGTACCTGTATCTTTTGTACTTTGTACCTGTAAAAGCTGTAATTGTTTGCAAACCTGAAAATCTGTTCAATAGCCGGGTCAGGCTTAAGTGGACGCACTTGAAAGCCGCCGGCGTGGACCGCGGGAGACGTCCCCGGACCACATGTTAGGAAGGCCACACCCTTTGCGGGGAAGCAGATACCCCTTTTGGGGGCCTTTTAAAATATCAGTCTTTGGCCTGTTTCTTGTGACGACAGCCACTGTACTTCTAGCATTTGTCATCATGGGTCAATCACCATCTACCCCTCTATCCGTTGTTTTACAGCATTTTAAAGATGTCAGGTCCAGAGGGTCGGACCTCGGTGTAAAAATAAAAAAATCCCCTCTAATCACCTTTTGTTCCTCAGAGTGGCCGAAGTTCGGAGTTGGTTGGCCCCCGGAGGGAACTTTTGATTTACAGATTGTCCGTCGCGTAAAGGAAATCATCACCAGTGAAAAAAAATTCGGACATCCTGACCAACTCCCGTATATCTTAGTCTGGCAAGATCTAGTCCAGAACCCCCCTGCTTGGTTAAAGCCATTTTTGTCGTTACAGGCACAACCCGTACTGCCGGCTAAACTGCTTGGGTCCCACCCCAACACCCCGTCGGCACCTGCGGTTTTCCAAGACTCTACCCCGGAGGAACTTCTATTTCCACCACCCTATCATAACCCTTGTAGTAACCCTCCCCAACTCCTGCGGTCGGCTGACCACCCTCCCCCAGAGGCGGGCGGGGCTCGTGGGCAGGGTCCGGCGGCAGGCACCCGCTCAGTGAAGGCGAATTCCCCGGATTCCACCGTCCTGCCCCTGCGTGTGGCAGGATTGCCTAATGAGCAGGGCAACCAGCCCATGCACTACTGGCCGTTTGCGACCAGTGACCTCTACAACTGGAGAGCACAAAATGCACGTTTCTCTGACAACCCTAAAGACCTTGTTAATCTCCTAGACACTGTTCTATTTACTCATCAGCCCACCTGGGATGATTGCCAACAGCTCTTGCAGGTCCTCTTCACCACTGAGGAGCGAGATCGTATACTGACGGCCGCCAGGAAATTAGTCCCTGGAGAAGATGACACACCCACCACAAACGCGGCCCGCATAGATTTAGTGTTTCCCTTGACCTGACCTGACTGGGATTTTAACCAGGCTGAAGGTAAGGAGAGACTCCGGGTGTACCGCCAGACTCTAATGGCAGGGTTGCGTGCAGCAGCCCGCAAGCCCACCAATTTGGCCAAGGTAGGGGATGTGCAGCAGGGAAGGGAGGAGACCCCCGCGGCTTTTCTAGAACGCCTCATGGAAGCTTTTCGGCAATATACTCCTATGGATCCGGAGGCAACGGAGAACAGGGCCGCGGTGGTAATGGCCTTTGTTAACCAGGCGGCTCCTGACATTAAACAAAAACTACAAAGAATAAATAGGCTGGGAAAAAAATCTATTCGAGATCTTATGGAGGTGGCAGAAAAGGTGTACAATCGCCGTAAAACTCCTGAGCAAAGAGAAGACCGCATCCGCCAGGAAAAACGGAAGGTAAGGGCGGCTGAAAACGCACGCCACACTCGGGATATGGCCAGAATCCTGTTCGCCGTCACTCAAAAGGACGACCTGGGTAAGCTACACCCCTCCCGCCGCCCCAGCTCCACAGGGACAGGCAGGACCCTACAGCGTGATCAATGTGCATACTGCACTCAAAAAGGACACTGGGCCAAACATTGCCCAAAGAAACGGGGAATAACCTCAAACAACCCCGCCGTTTCTGACACTCCTGTCCTGGTGCTCGGGGGCACAAGAGATGACAGTGACTAGGACCGTCAGGGCTCGACCCTCCCCGAGCCCCGGCTAACCTTAAAAGTGGAGGGGAGACCCGTTAATTTCCTTGTGGACACGGGGGCACAGCATTCAGTCCTCACGGAACCCTTGGGTAAACTTTCCGGTAAAACTTCGTGGGTGCAAGGGGCTACGGATGCAAGCAGTATCCCTGGACCACGAAAAGATCTGTAGACCTGGGAAAAGGTCAGGTCTCGCACACCTTCGTTGTAATTCCTGAATGCCCGTACCCATTAATTGGAAGAGACCTTTTAACCAAGGTAGGAGCGCAAATCTCATTTGGACAGGAAGGTGTCGAAATCAAGGACTTTAAGGGCTCTCCCCTACACGTCCTCACGATTTCCCTTCAAGATGAGTACCGCCTTTTGGTGGCGCCAGATCACCCACCCCTTTCTGGGTGGTGGATGGAATCTTTCTCGAATGTTTGGGCAGAAACCGGGGGCGTTGGCCTGGCGTCCCACAGACCACCCATTATAGTCCAGCTAAAGCCTGGGGCTGAACCCATTCGGGTAAAACAGTACCCTATGCCTGCAGAAGCCAAGGCAGGAATAACGCCTCATATTCGGAGGCTATTGGACAGTGGTATCCTTAAAACATGCCATTCGTCATGGAACACCCCTTTGTTACCGGTGCGAAAACCACACTCGCAAGACTTCAGGCCGGTACAGGACCTCAGAGAAGTAAATAAACGGGTCATAGATATCCACCCCACAGTCCCAAACCCTTATACCTTGCTGAGTGCCTTGCCACCTACTCATGTGTGGTACACAGTATTGGACTTAAAAGATGCCTTCTTTAGTCTACCACTAGCACCCCAAAGCCAGGAAATGTTTGCCTTTGAATGGCAGGATGCGGAACGGGGCATCAGTGGACAATTAACTTGGACAAGGTTGCCTCAAGGGTTTAAAAACTCTCCCACCCTTTTTGACGAGGCCCTTCATGAGGATTTAAGAAAATTCCGCAGCCGATTTCCCGAACTAACTTTGCTCCAGTATGTTGATGATCTGTTACTTGCAGCGAAAAGTGAGCATGCCTGCCGAACAGGAACAGCCGAATTACTGACGGAACTGGGCCAGATGGGATACCGCGTCTCCGCAAAAAAGGCACAAATTTGCCTGCCCGAGGTAATCTATCTGGGCTACCGCCTCAAAAACGGTTATAGGTGGCTGACGGAAGCCAGAAAAGCTACTGTCTTACAGTTGCCGACACCCACCACCAAAAGGGAGGTACGTGAGTTCCTGGGATCTGCTGGGTTTTGCCGGCTATGGATACCTGGATTCGCAGACCTGGCCCAACCCTTGTATGAGGCTACCCGGGAAAAAGTAACTTTTCAGTGGACTCCCCAGATGCAGCAGTCTTTTGAGTCCTTAAAGAGGGCTTTACTGTCTGCACCAGCCCTGGGTCTTCCGGACATTACAAAGCCTTTCCATTTGTTCGTAGATGAGGCAAAGGGCATAGCTAAAGGGGTGCTCACTCAGTCCTTGGGCCCCTGGAGGCGTCCTGTGGCTTATCTGTCTAAAAAGTTAGACCCGGTGGCGTCCGGCTGGCCACCGTGCTTACGCATGGTGGCAGCGGCTGCCCTCCTTTTCAAGGACTCCCAAAAACTGTCTCTGGGACAAGTTACTTCCATAACCACCCCCCATGCGGTGGAAGGAGTCCTCAGGCAGCCGCCAGAGAGGTGGATGAGTAATGCCCGAATCACGCATTACCAAAGCCTATTGCTCAACCCAGAGAGGGTCAATTTTTCGCCACCCACGGGGCTAAACCCCGCCTCCCTCCTACCTGCCCCTGACCTGGAGGCCCATCTAGACTGTGTTGATATCTTGGCCCAGGTCCAAGGGTTACGCCCTGATCTGCGAGATAACCCTCTGCCGGACGGACTGGTTTGGTTTACGGATGGGAGCAGTTTTATCCACGAGGGCCGAAGAGCGGCAGGGGCGGCAGTGGTGTCCATGCAGGAAGTCATATGGGCTGAGCCTTTGCCATCCGGGACGTCCGCTCAAAAGGCTGAACTAATTGCCCTAACCAAAGCTCTCACCTTGGCTCGAGGGAAAAATTTAACTGTGTATACTGACAGCAGATATGCATTTGCCACGGCCCACGTACACGGGGCCATATATCGAGAGCGCGGGCTCTTAACCTCCGACGGCAAAGGCATTAAAAACGCTCAAGAAATTATGGATCTCCTGGCAGCGCTGTGGCTACCACGTAAGCTGGCTATAGTACATCATCCAGGTCATCAAAAGGACTCCTCGACTCCAACTCAAGGTAATAAGCGGGCGGATGAGGCAGCACGCCAAGCTGCCCTAATGCCGGTAGATGCCCTGACAGTAAAACTCCCAGACCCAGGGGACCCGCAGCTGCCGGAAGACCCAGAGTATAGTGCTATGGACTTTGACTACATACAGTCTCTACCGGGTGCTTTTTCTTTGGGACACTGGTGGTACACCCAAGAAACTAAGGCCATCTTGCCAGCACACTTGGCCACTGATCTCATTCAGCGCTTGCACCGAGCCACGCATTTGGGAGAGAGAAAAATTCTAACTCTAATCAGGCAATGGAACCTCCATGTCCGGGACGCAACCTGTACCGTGCGACAAGTAGTGGCATCCTGCCAGTCGTGTGCCATGGTAAACGCCACCAAGACAACCGGTGAACCAGGAATGAGGCCGCGAGGAACGCGCCCGGGGGTCCATTGGGAAATAGACTTCACCGAGGTAAGACCAGGTAAATTTGGCTATCGATACCTGCTGGTCCTGGTGGACACGTTTTCCGGATGGCCGGAGGCGTTCCCGACAAGAGGTGAGTCAGCTCGAGTGGTAGCCAAAATCCTGTTGGAAAACATTTTTCCTAGATTTGGGTTTCCAGTGACCATTGGGTCAGACAATGGACCAGCCTTTGTCTCTCAGGTATCGAAATCTGTGGCTTCTGCCCTGGGAGCAGAGTGAAAGCTCCATTGTGCCTATCGGCCCCAGAGTTCAGGGCAGGTGGAGAGAATGAACAGAACTTTAAAAGAAACTTTAACTAAATTAACTTTAGAGTCTGGCGGGGACTGGGTGACTCTCCTTCCCTATGCCCTCTTCCGGGCTCGCAATTCCCCTTATCGTCTGGGTCTGTCTCCGTTCGAGATTATCTATGGAACCGCCCCCCCAACCACACCGCACGGTGCGCAGTTAGCTTGTGATTTGCCTTCTGATTGTGAACTTTTTCTTTCTGTGTGGGCTGTACAGCAGGCTCACCAGGAGGTCTGGCCCCGCCTCAGAGCGCTCTATGAAGGGGGAGGACCTTCTCAGACAGCCCACAAATTTCAGCCTGGAGATCTTGTCCTTGTCCGCCGACACAAGACCGACGGTCGTGGCCTCCAGCCCCGGTGGAAGTGTCCCTACATCGTCCTCCTGACCACACCCACCGCACTCAAAGTGGACGGCATCGCGGCCTGGGTTCATCACTCACACGTCAAGACGGCACCAACTGACGACTCCCAGCTGCAGTGGCGAGCCCGGAAGCATCCCACCAATCCACTCAAGCTGACTCTTCAGGCGCTCCCGGCTACAACCCATCGCTCCCAGACCACTGCCCACGCCGTGAAAAATGACACCAAACTGTAATGTTGGCTACCTACTGTCCTTCCTTTGTTTTCTCCTTGTCGGGGCTGACTGGGATCCCTGCCGACGGTGCATCACCGAAGGCATATTCGGTCATATTCAGAGCAAGTGCTATGTTAGTAAGCGTGCTTGCAGCCTTAAGGGAGTTCCTTTGTTTGTGGCGACCCTGATTAAGGGCACCACCCATGGATGTCCAGGTACAGTGGGGAGGGTGGTCTGTTGGAAGCGTTTAAATCAAATGCCGCCTAAAAATGAAAGTTGCAATCACTGTAAAGAGGGGGGAGTTTTTCAGCCTATACCTTTGTTCATTCACAGTGCTATGAAAGGTCTACTGTTTATCAGTGCACAGAGTCCAATCGAACTTTCTGGACTGGTATATCCTTAGGAAATAACGCGGGATATGTATGCCCTGTCAAAGCAGGAAAACCCTTTTGTTGGACTCTGCAAACCCACTGGGGGATGACAGATGGTGGGGGTGTGCAAGACCACGCACGAAAGCAGGAAGTTCAGAGGGTTTTTGAACAAGTTGCCCAAACACAGGATCGGTGGTTCAAGCCGATACACATCCCAGGCCCGGTGGGTTCCCTTAAATTGGAAAAGACAGTACAGGCCATGTTAGACTCAGCCCTACAATTTTTAAACAAGACCAACCCAACCCTGGCCAGCGATTGCTGGTTATGTCTAAGAAAAGGACCCCCCCGTTACACAGCGATCCCTGCTGTGTACAACTGGATTAATTGGACGAACCTAAAGGGCCCAACCCATACGTGTAACCAGACCTTGCCCATCAATAATGTCAAGCTCTCCCCAACAGTTACTCAGATGCCATGCCTTAGTCACAATGGGACCTTAAGAGTGGGTCAAGTAAATAAGGTACTCTGCAGTTCAGTAGTCAGTGCAACTAAGGCGCCCAGTTTTAATGGCTCTGCCTCTATGTGCCCGCCGGCACTGGGCACTATTTTCTTCTGTGGCACCACAGCCTACCCCGTACTCCCTGCTAACTGGTCGGGCTTGTGCATTTTAACATATCTCATGCCCGATGTGGGAGTGGTCCCAGGCAACCAAAGCCTTCCCATACAGCTCATCCAGTCTGTGCCTGCCGGACATAAGCGGGCCATAATTACCCCACTACTGCTCGGCCTGGGGTGGCAGCCGGAGTGGGGACCGGAGTTGCTGGAATTGGGACCTCTGTTAACCTTTACCAAAAAATTTCAGCTCAGCTGGTGGGGGACATTGGGCGGCTAGCAGATACAACCTTAGAGTTACAGTCTCAGTTAGACTCTTTGGCCGCGGTGGTCCTGCAAAACCGCCGCGGGCTAGATCTTCTCACAGCAAAGGAAGGAGGCATCTGTCTCTACCTGCGGGAAGAATGTTGCTTCTATGCTAACAAGTCAGGAATAGTTAGAAATAAAATTAAGCAATTACAAGAGGAACTAGAACACCGGAGAAAAAAGCTAGAAGACAACAATGCATTTCTTTGGGAAGGCTTAGGAGGATGGCTGCCCTATCTCTTGCCTCTTCTGGGCCCAGTCGTTACCCTCTTCTTAATTCTGTCTATCGGGCCCTGTGTCATTAATCGACTCGTGGCCTTTATTAAACAACGGGTAAACACGGTCCAGTTAATGGTGCTGCGCTCCCAATATGCCCCCTTACGCCAATATAACTCTCCCCAACAACCCCTAAAACAGGACCCCTCCCAATACATAGGAGTGGAGCCCTGACTGTTTCCCCTCATCGCCCACTTTCAGCAGGAAGCAGTTACTGATCAGAACGACGCCCCTTTTCCCTGACTGCAGTTAGGGGCTCCATTCCCAAAAAGGGAGGAATGAGACATAGGGCGAGTTAGGGTGATTAAGCAAGTTTCAGGAACAGTACAAAAGAGGACCTCTAAGGAGTTTAGGAAGGCTTCAGGGATAAAAACAACTAAAGAAACATCTCTTGTTTAAGCAGAGTAATTCTCATTTGTGGCTGAGAACTTTTGCTGGACCTATAACCCTGTGAATGAACAACAAAATGACACATAATGTGACTAAACGTAACCATAATTCTGAGACTGACTAACTGATAAAAGGCTTGGTAGCTGTGTTATTTTCTTAACTGACTAGCCGTTTTTTTTTTCAAAAAAAAAAAATGGGGAAATGTGGAACCAAGCTTAGCTGAGGTTTCGCCATTTTGTATATCCTCCACCTTGATATGTTAGTCCTTGTCCTGCCGCATTCCGGAGATAGTTTCAGCAGTCACAACCCTCACTCCACTTGGTGACGAAAAAGCAGACCACCCCAGCCACCAATGAGGGCAGTCCTGTCCATAAATGGGACAGCATCTCTAACCGTCCAATCAGTTTGAAACTGTAACCGCGCGCGCCCAAAGTGCCTTTGTAGTAGCCAATGAATAATTGCCAACTTCTTTCAAAGTTCCCGCCACTCGCGACCCTATAAGATGTCCCAGCTTCCTCTGTTCGGGGCTCTCGACCTCTGCCGTTGCATCGGTGCGTGTCGAGGGCCCGGTCTCGAGCCCGTATTAAACTCCTTTGTGCCCTTGCATCGGTTGTCTGTGTCCTTGGGGGCTGCACTGGTCGACGTGGGCACAACAGTAGACACATAAGGAACTATAAATCATCTTAATTTAAGTTTTTTTCACTAACCACCATACTGCTGTATCACAATAACAAACATTTTCCTATGTCACTAATGCAGAAAATATTATTTCCACACTGGGAATACACTTGAAGAATTATGGAGCACCTGGCAAAAAAAAGTAGCCAACTTTATGATATAAAGTTTTGTATTCCCCTGGTAAATGCATGATTGTTTTTCCAGCTTTGACAATAACAAGATGTAAGCATTTCTGTTAAGGTTACCAAGTAACTTACTCCCCAGTTTCTGTAGTAGCCACTTTTTTTTGGAGAGCTGTGCCAGCTCTGTGTTTGAGTGGAACTTCTTGTCCCTTCTAATGAGTAATAAACATAATAATTTATTCAATCAAACTAAAGAAAGACATGGAAATGAGAAGATACAATCAATACAGGACTTAACTTCAAAAACAGGAAAATACCACTTTAAACTGAACATGCTAATGGACTAGAGCTGGAGAGTTGTGGAAGTAAATCCCTCACAACGTTTCTTTTGTCTGACCCAGAAAGGAATGCATAGGTTATATACATAGACTCCCTTTTCTATGGTAACTGCAACTTTCCCCAGGGCAACAGGAAATAAGAAGGGAAAAATTCTTACTGCTGGTCCCGCATGGATTTAAATAGGTGAAGCTTTGGGTAGCAATGAGATTTCACCAGGCTCTAAGCTTTTACTTCACAAAAGGCCATGTGCCCACCTGCTCTTTTCCATTCCTCAGTCTTTCAAAGCATTCTCCTAACGATCTGTCATAAATGTTCTTAAAGTGTAAATACTCTCTTATAGGTCATTATGTTAGGGTTCTCAAAGAATGGGGAGTATACTCACAACCACAGGTAATGGCATAAAGATAAGTCAAAAAGAAGAGAATCCTTTGGTGATTCTTAAATTACACTCCTTCCCTACTTTCTTATAAAGCCATAAAGTTAGTCTTATTCAGAAAAATGTACATATTTTTTCTATTTATAATCGTGATAAAAATATAAAATATACCACAAATTTTAAGGGTATAGTTTAGCCATGGTACATATGTTCCCATTGCTGTGCAATGCATCTTCAAAGCTTTTTAATATTACATGTGGAGACTACATACTCATTAAACAGAGATTCCTCATTTATCCCTCCTTTCAACACCTGGCAACTGTTGTGCCCAAGATCAGCAGACTTGGCGAGCATAGCCTCCAAGAATCCAAAGACAGCTGATGCAAATGCAAAAGGGAGTTTATTACGGGCTCGAGACCGGGCCCTCGACACGCACTGATGCAACGGCAGAGGTCGAGAGCCCCGAACAGAGGAAGCAGGGGTATCTTATAGGGTCGCGAGTGGCGCGAACTTTGAAAGAAGCTGGCAATTACTCATTGGCTACTACAAAGGCATTTTGGCGCGCGGTTACAGTTTCAAACTGATTGGACGGTTAGAGATGCTGTCCCATTTATGGACAGGACTGCCCTCATTGGTGGCTGGGGTGGTCTGCTTTTTCGTCACCAAGTGGAGTGAGGGTTGTGACTGCTGAAACTATCTCCGGAATGCGGCTGGACAAGGACTAACATAGCAAGGTGGAGGATATACAAAATGGCGAAACCTCGGCTAAGCTTGGTTCCACAGCAACCACTATTCTACTTACTGTTTTTATGTGTTTGACAACATTTTATACTTCATATAACTGAAATTACAGTGTTTCCCTTTTTTGTGACTGGATTATTTCACTAAATGTCCTCAACATCCATCCATGTTGTAGTATGGGACATGATTTACTTCCTTCTTAAAGTTGAATCATGTCCAGTTGTGTATATGTACCACATACATTTGACTTGCTTCCGTCTCTTGGCTGATGTAAATAATGCTATTAAGGACATGGTTGCGCCAATAATTCTTTGAAATCCTGCTTTAAATACTTTCATATATATGTCCTGAGGTGGGATTGCTTGATTGTATGTTAAATATATTTTGAATATTTTGAGAAAACTTATTGTTTTTCATAGTGGCTGCACCATTATGCATTTCCAGCAATAGTGCACAAGGATTCCAATTTCTCTACATTCTTACCAAGACTTGATATTTTCTGTTTTTATTTTTATTGTAGCCCTCCTAAATCAGTATGAAATAACTCCTCATGGTGTTTTTGAAGATTATATTTTTAACAGTATTATATGTTGGCATTACACAATACAATTTGTAAATGTTGCCTCTAACATCACCAAATTACCATATTGTGTCCTTGCAATATTATAATACTTGACAATCAATAAAAATTCAAAAAGCATAGTGATTTGCCAAGATTCATGAGAGATTACTGATAAATTGGGAGTTAAATTTTTAGCTATGAATATGCCCATTTATTTACATATTAACTCCTCACTTTCATGTTGTTATAATTTCTCTATCCTAAAATATGTTATTTTTAAATACCTCATATGGATACCACCAAATTTTATGAAGTTGTGTTTTGCATTTCCACATGGTAACACCAATAACAAAAACTTTACAAATTAGTTAAATAAAAATGAAGGAAAACAAAATAGAAATAAAAAGACAGTTTAAAAGATCAATAAAATTATGAACTGGCTTTTTGAAAAGATGAGCAAAATAGACCTCTAATTACGCTAATGAAAAAGAGAAAATAGAATCAGAAATGACGTTATAATA